ACTCTCTTTCCACTTCAGCTGCTGCTGTGTGGGGCTCCATTGAGGGGCAGAAAGAACCCAGTGGAAGTGAGGAGGAGAGAGAGACCAATGTGTAGGAGCAATGTAAAGCACACTCAGAAATGAAAAGACAAATGGATCAAGTCTTACAGGGAAAAAATCAGACATTCAGTAAAACAAAACAACTGTGTGACCCTCTGTGGTGCAGGCGTGGTACCCATTTATGTTTTCTTTTGGAGCACCTGGGTGGTTCAGTCCATTGGGCAGCTGACTTTGACTAAGGTCGCAATCCCAGGGTCCTGAGATCGAGCCCCTGCATCAGGTTCCCTGCTCAAAAGGGAACCTTTTTCTCCCTTTCCCTCTCCCCCTACTTGGGCATGCTCTCTCTCAAATAAAGAAATAAAATTAAAAAAAAAAGTTTCCTTTTGTTATTATCACATATTTATTTTATCTTTATGCCCTGCAAATGGCATTGGTGATCAAGTCTCAATGAATGTTTTAAAACAAAAATAGGGGGGGCGCCTGGGTGGCTCAGTGGGTTAAAGCCTCTGCCTTAGGCTCAGGTCATTGTTGGGTCCGTAATCAAAGGAATGAGACTGATACAAAGCAAAGTCAAGCAAAGCTTTATTTCGCACCAAGCATCAAGAATCAAACCAACCATTAGGGGCCGCCTCTTACCAAGAGGGCGACCACCCCCAGGCTCACAGACTAACTTTTATAGAGCAAAGGCCATGTGGTTGAGCCTGGCCACACACAGGTGGCCAATGAGATTGCAACACACAGAGAAAGCTGCAGTCATGCTAGGTCACACATGCAGTCATGCTAGGCCAAGTGAATTACAATTCACCCCATAGTAGCTATTTGAACTAGTCTATCTCCTTGGTCAGAACTGGCTCCCAAAAGGCGCCTAAAAGGCGGGGCCCACACTCCTTGGTAGCTAGGGAGACAGTAGGAGCGCCCCACTGATTGGATGTCTCCACCTGACCCGACTCATCCCTGCATTAGGGCTGTTATCTCCACCTGACCTGACCCACCCTTGTATTTGGGCTTTGTTACCTGGTACTGGTCGACCACCTTCTACTGGTTTCCCGGACTTGCTTTTAAATAAGTTCCACGGGGGGAGGGGGGCAGGGTCAGTTTAAGTTTTACTGCATAAACAACAAAATGGCTGTTCAACCGAGGTGGAGCTGCTCTGGCTCAATAGGCCCTGACAGTCATAATCCCAGCGTCCTGGGATCGAGCCCCGCATCAGGCTCTCTGCTCCGGGAGCGGGGGAGCCTGCTTCCTCCTCTCTCTGTCTCTGCCTGCCTCTCTGCCTGCTTGTGATCTCTGTCAAATAAAGAAATAAAATCTTAAAAAACAAACAAACAAACAAACCCAAAATACGGTATCAAAGTGGGTGGGCAGGAAAAATCATGAATGTGAATATGTTGGGGAAGGAAAAATACAGCTACGTGTATTGAATGACAGAAAGCTCAACCAAAACCAATCTCATCAGAAAAAGCATCAAAGATCCTGTGGAAAAGGGACTTTCAACGCAGAAGTCAACGAACGACAAACTGGCGTGCCCAGCACATTGGTGTGTCATGCCCGGGCTCCTGCCGTGACTCTGGGCCACTGGGTCACGGGCTGTGAACTGCTCCATCCATTGACCACAATGTGCGACTTCATTACTAAGGAAGGATAAAGGAAGCAATATTGCTAATTATCCTCTTAGCTGGGCTGTGATCTGGCCAAGTTTGAGGAGTGGACCACAGGAAGGCAAGAAGCAGCAAGACCCACCTGTGAGAGCTGAACCACAGGGAAATTCATAACCTAACCATGAGCGAGCAAGCACGGCAGCTGGTTATGCTCCGGGAGACAGGGGGAGAAAGCAAAGCTCCCTGTTACAACGTGCAGCTAAAAATAGGCGATGAAATACTTATTATTTGAGCTGGAAGAAATCTTAAAGGTTAAGATAGGACTTGAATCCTGGTATGGCAGTTCTGTGCGTATGGGTCTGTGTGGCCTCCTGCTGGCGTGTGGGCTCTTGGCGTGTGACACCGGGTCACACGTGGGTTGACAGCCTCGCCGCAGAGTACACTGTGACTGGTGGAGTGTAAAAATGTAATTCGTGTTCTTTGGATGAGTGAGGGAATGAGTGCATTTCGTTAGAATATTCATTTTGTACACAAGTCCAGAGAGACACAGAGGGGAGCCCAGGTGTGCTGGCTGTCACAGTGCAGAGCTCATTATGCTCTCTGCCATCCTTCCCTGGCTCCAGGCCTCCTATCAAGGAGCTTGCAGTGTGGCCCGGGAGCCAAGAGCCCCTTCTGCAGGTGCTGGCTTACCTCATTCCCTGGGGATTGTGACAAAGCCATTCCATTCTAAGCCCTAGTTTTCTTCTCTGTGAAATGTTGCGATTGGATCAAATCACTGGTGTGACTTCTTAGTAGAAAGGGGCACATAAACTCCTACCCTACCTCAAGGAATATCTCTGAAGTCAGTCTGGTTTTCAAAGGAAATCATGAACCGAAACCAGCTCCCAAGTCTTCTCACCCTGACCATCTATATGAGAGTATCGTTGATCAATGAGTGTGTACAGTGTAACTGTTTTTTATATATCCGAGCAATGTTTCCAATCTTTTGTACACAAGAGAAAGAACTGCACACTTTTTTTAAAATGTATCTTTCTTTGGAAAGCAGTATCAAACTCTCAGGAAGGTGAATTTTGAAGGATTTTAGTTAGTTATCTGAGTTTGGATGGTAGATTTTTGCTTGTACACAAAATGCTAATTGTTAGTTCCTGACCAGTCTTCCTAGTTGAGAAGCCAGCTTTTGTACTTCTATCTTTAGGGCCATGGACCAAAATAAAAGACTATGCTTTCAAAGGGGAAAAACTTAAAAAAAAAAAAAAAAATTACTGTTCAAATTTTGAACCTTCAAAATTCAGATTTATATTTGTGTCTGACGGCAACAACTCCATGCTTAATCTCTCCAGACTCAGCAGACAGGAGAAAAGCCAAAAGCAGCTGCTAGAGGGACGGCATACAAGTGTGTGCCCGGCTGCTCCCTCCTCTGTGCCCTGTCCTCTCTTCCCCTTGCTTCTGCACCTCCACGGCTCACACAAAGGCCTCACAGGATTAGCTACCCCAAAATAGCTTTAGGTAAACATACCACCTGTCTGGAAGATTACAATATTTTTGTTGAGAGGCTAATCTTTTTTTCCTGCAGAACTAAGTGTCTAATTCTGAGCGTCTTTCAATGCATATTGGATTTTTTTTTTTTACATTGTATAAAACATGCATTATATACCTTTAGTCCCCACAACCCCTCTTTGTGATTTCGGTTGCAAACTCTTAGAGAAGAAGATTTCGAATTATCTGTTTCTAGAGTGCAAGGAAAATGAGGCTTGGGCTCCCACCTGAATTTCTAGAGCAAAGCCCAGGGATTTTTGAACAGTGGCCTAATGTCTAGAAGTCTAATAAACATAATGCACCGTAATAGTCCCTGAATTTGGAAAAGGTTTTATACTTTAAAATATATTCTGATGTCATCTGACATTTAGATAAATTTTGAGGAGTAGATACTATCGACACAAGTGTCATGAGTGCTAGAGAATGTGTGTGCCCAGGAACACACCACTGGTGAGAAGACCAAGCTGTGTCTAATTCAGTGACTCCACTTCCTAATTTAAGGCTCTTTCATTGCACAAAGAAACAATGTTCTTCTGTTCCTTTCAGTTCAGAATAGAACTCCATCTCCCTTCTTGGTTCAGTACAATCTTATCGAAAAGTGAAGTCCTAGAAGGATATATGAAGCCAACACATCCTAATCTGAAAAGAACAGGAAAACGAGGGGGCAGATTTGTCCCCACACTGCTGACACCTTGGGCTCCTATGTGAAGGCTACTCCTGTCTTAGGTGTTTGACCTGAAGAGTCCTGTCAGACAAGCCAAGCTCACTTCTCCTGTCAAGTTCCATGGTTTTATTTACAGGAAGGATTCCAGTCTGTGAATGTGGATTAATTCAGGTGTTAGGCATCTACTTTATCTGACTTCTTTAGAGGGGGGCAAGTGGAGGTCGCTTATTTTCTGAAGGGATAGAATGCAGAGATAAAAAGGAACATCTTACAGGGATTAGCAGCTGAGCGCAGTGGATCCAGTCTAATCAGACTGGATCAAACCCAGCAGCCCATCCAAGGAGCCACTGCAGGTGGAGGATCTCCCCGCTTTTCGTGGAGGTCGTGTGTGTGTGTGTGTGTGTGTGTGTGTGTGTGTGTGTGTGTGTGCATGCGTGTGTGTGAGAGAGAGAGAGAGAGAAAGAAAGAGAGAGACAGAGACAGACAGAGAGAGAGAGATTAAAGACCTTGACCTCATCCCAGGAGAAGGTAATTGTCTGGAAACAAAAACAAGAGCTTAAAATATACAGTCCCTTCAAACAAGAAAAGTCAAGAGAAAGAAGATGTGGTTGGGGGGAAAGAAGCCTTTCTACAGATTTTGGAAATCCTCCGAACAAGAAAATGTCAGTGTCATTCTCCCTCCTTGTGAGGAGCAACCAGATTTGCAGTGTTCCCAGGGATGTCTCTGGATGTTCGTGCCTCCTGTCACTGGGGATGTGAGGGGAATAGAGTGAATAGAGTGAAGCTCACTCCACAAAATCCAGACCGGGTTTTCCTTCCCCTGCCAACCTTCGCCAAAGGCTAACCTGACAGATCTGAGGTTCACTTCCCTCCTACTCACTGGTGGAAAAAACACTCAGGCAGTTTGAAAAGGTCAATGGGGGAGAGGCTGGCTGCCGGGATTGAGGAGTGGGAAGAAGAGGAAACTTGGCAAGAAAATTAGCTCCTTAATCATCTGGATGGGGTTTTAGTTCTGTTCTCCCAAGATGCCCCTTTCTACATACCGCCTCCCCAGCCACTTCAAACACAAAGCAATAGGATTGCTCTTAATCCCTGAAAACTGATTATCAAAGTAACATTCACTTACCAGCAGCTGCTCCGTTCTGCTTTCTGGTGATGGCGCATCATCTATGTTCTACCACAAAGCTCATGGTGGTGCCATCAAAGGAAGGGGGGGCAATGATCCTGGGCCCCAGGGGTTGCGAAGTGATGCTGATGACAGGCTTGCCGTGCAGCTGGGTGAAGCCTTTGGCCCCCACAAGCTGGGATGTGGCTGCCGGGGCCGAGGAGGAAGAGGAAGCAGGAGACTGACCGGAGGCCATGAAGTATGGGGCCTCAGTGAATGTCGCAGTTGCCTCTTTGCCAGGGGGGTCTGCTGCCATGGAGGAGAGCTCGCTTCCCCCTGGAGTGTGAGCAATCGGCGTGGGCTGCAGGGCATTGGCAGGCAGCACCGTGGGGAGAAACCCAGGGTAGATCATGTAGGTGGGTCCATAGGCCCCAGGGCTCAGGGCCAAGGGAGGCACAGGGAGGGACATGGGAGCCACAGCCTGCTGCTGGGAAGTCATGGGTACATCCACATACTGCCCTGTCTCAGGGTCAAACAGTCTTCGGGTCATGGGCTGTACTGGTGTGTCCACCAGATAGTACTGGCCGGTCGTCACATCCAGGAGCATCTTGCGCTGGGTCTGCTGGGGCTGTGGTTGCTGGAAGGGGTCTGTGGGGACTGAAGCTGGGCCTGCAGGTGCTGTGGCAGGCATGCTGGGTGGGGAGAAGCACAGGACCTGGGGCTGGGCTCCCTGCAGGGCAAAAGGCAGTGGCTGCTGGTGGTAGATGGCAGTGGGAAGATGCTCCGGGCTCTGTGGCCCTGTGGCGGCAGCTACTGTCTCCCTGGGGTTGTCGGGTTTGGTACGCCAAGCTGGCCGGCTGGTTCCACTGACCTGAGAGCCTTTGGGATTGCTGGGGACCTGGCTGCGGGCGCTCAGAGGGGGCAGGCTGCAGAGAGTGGCCGCTGAGGGGGCTGGGGGCCCCTCCCTCCCAGCCCCGGGCCTGCCAGGAAGTTCTCCCGCTGAAGAGCTTCCTTTAAGGGGGATGGACAGATAATTCTCACAGTCACTATTGTTCTTTTCCAAATTGCTGCTGTTTTTCCTAGTGGTCACCTCATCAGGAGGTGCCCGAGTCGCCGGAGAGATCTTGAGGGACCGGAGTCCCTGGGTTTTGATGCCCTTTGCCGCCGAAGGACTCTCTGGAGAAGGCCCTTGGGGAAACTTGCCAGCGACACCCCCAGTTTTCTGGGTGCTGCTGGTACTCACCGTGAACACGTTTCGGTTGCTGGGGAGTGGTGGGAGGGGCTGCAGGGGTTGGGTTCTCTCCACATCCTTGTGGACTGGGGGGATATAGAGGGATCGCGGCCTTTCCCTGGCCATGTTCTCAAAGGCGGCTGCCCGGGCAGACACGCTCTCAGCACTTGGGTTGGAGTTCCTCCGCTGCAGACGCTCCCCCGGGCCCCTCCGCAGCACCACGCCTCCCTTGTTTCCGGTGCCCCGCTCCTCCAGCTCACCCAGTCGTTTGGCCAGCTTGTCTGGGTCCCCCTCCGCCCCTGCAGCCCCTTCCCTTTCCTCACTGGCAATGAGCGACAGGACATGGCTGTCCATCATCATGGGCAGGGGGTCGCTTTTGCGCTTCCACTCGTTCCTGTTGAAGCTGTACAGCTCTTCCATGGACCTCACGGCTGCCGTCAGCTTCTCCAGGGCGTTCCGAGAAGTCTTTGGGGCTTTCCCTTCCTCCTTGACCTCCTCCTCCTTGGCCTTCTCTGGGGTCTTCTGAGCAGAAGCCTTAGAGACGATCTTGAGCACAGGCAGGTAGGAGCCCTGCTCAGGCTTATTGGGGGCAATGGTGGCCACAGGCAGCCTGCCAGACGCCCTGTGAACCAAGACTGTCCCTTCTGGCGAGGACGAATTCAAGAACCTGGTGCTGACCCCTGGGCCTACGTTCTCCCTCGGCTCTCGGTCCATGCTCTCTTCCCTCGGGTTAACCACCGCCTGGCACGTAATCACTATGGGGGAAAGGGATCTGGATCCGCCCCCTGCCGCAGCCAGCTGCCTGGGTTTGGGCCCGGTCAGCCCCTGCTCTGGGGTAACACTGCCCTTGTCACTGCTGTCCCCAGACCCTTTGATTAGTTTCCTGACATCTCTCACCTGATGGAGGGGGCCTTGGGCCTTGGACTTGTCTCTGACGTCTCTCACCTGGAACTGGGGCACTTTTTCCAGGTTGTCTCCCCGGAAGAGCTTCTGCTGCGCCCTGCTGTTGTCCTCAACTGTCTTGAAAAGGTTAGAGGCGCTGCCACTGGCCAATTTGGGCGTGAGCAGTTTGGCAATGTTGAAGTCCGAGCTCGGCTGTTGCACACTCCCCAGCCGGATCTTGATTTCGGGAGCCTTGGGCCGGATGACTGCCGTGGAGGTGGCTTGGGCGGCAGGGTACTTGGTAACCTGCTTCCCCGGCTGCTTGTCCTTGGGGGTCTGCTGGATGTTGGGGACAAAGAGGCGCGACATGATGGTGGACTTGCTGGCAGAGATCTCTCCAAGATCAGCCCTCCAGTCGCCCCCTTTGGGAAGCTTCAGCTTCCCAACAGGGGCCTTTTCTTCCCGCTTCTCGGCCTCCTTCTCCTTCCAGGAACGGAATGCACTGTTCTGACTGCGGAGGAAGATGCCTTTGACGGTCTCGGATGCACTCTTTTTGATTTCACAGACTTCCTCAGTGCGTCCGTCTGCGAAATTTCGACCCGAGGCAGCACTGCTCTCCCGAGGAGCACTGGCTTTGAAAATTGGCGATTTAGACTCAGCCACCGAGCCCTCAGCCCCTGCGTCGGACACGCTGACCACCGTGTACTCAGAGCCGGCCTCTGAGTGGCGAGAACCCTGCCTCTGCAGACCCCTCTCCCGTAGCTTCTCCCCCCGGGCTGGGCCCTCCGTCTCCTTGGAGGTGCTGGAGGGGTTACGGTGGGACGTGTCAGTGACTTCTCCCCTCTCCATTTTGAACTCGTGTTCCCGCTGCATCTTCTTGGAGATGACATTTTTGAGCAGACTGGAAGCAAACTTGGATTTCTTCTGGGGGCCTTCGGAGCGGGAGGCGGGCTTGCTGCTCTCAGAGGCCTCCGAGCCATCGTCTGTGTACACCGACCCTGGGCCCTTGCCGGAGCCTTTGGCGGTTCTGCAGGGCCCAGTGGCTGAGCTGGCTTTGCTCTCGCTGCGGAAATTCAGGGGCTCGAGGAGGGTGACCACACGGGAACCCGTCTGGACCTGCTTCTGGAAACACAGAGGTGTCTCCACATGTTTGATTTCCCCCTCGACTTTGCTGACCACGAACTCCAAGGCTTTGGTCTGGGACTTCCTGGACTGGATGTAGAGCTGGTCTGCAGTCGTCCTGGCCCCACTGCCCTTCCTCAGACCTGCAGCCACGGAGGCCGCACTACTCCTCAGGAGGCTCTGCTCCACCCTGGCTCCGACACCCCCACATTTTAAATCCAGGAACGTCGACCACCGCCCAAAGCCGACCTCGGAGAGTGTGGAGGACTCCCGGGAGCTGATGTTCAGGGCCTCAAAGTAGGGGTAGGCAAGGCTCCGGAAGGCCCGGGAGGTCAGGTTGCGCACCTCCTTGTCCGCATCGTCCAGTTCACTCACGGCACTGGAAGCCCCGCTGGAGTAGTCCACCAGCTCCTTCGCCCGGATGGCCCCGCACCGGGTTTGCAGGCGAGCAGGGACAGCGATGAATTTTTTTGCATGGTCCTGAGCCACGGCTGCAGCCGGGTCTTGCTTCAGTGAACTTGAATTGTGTTCAGCAGCTGTAGAGACGCGGAGGCTCATGTCGCCTTCATGCTTGGCAGCATAGATAATGTTTTGCTTTGCACGCACGTTGCTAGGCTCATTTATAGCCCGGGAAGTCGGTTTGATTGATAGGAGGATCTGGCTTGCTGCACTCCCACAGCTGCTGGCAGCCACGGCTGCTGTCCCTGAAGTTGCCTCCGGGGGCTCGGGCAAGGGCTCACTCAGGGTGGCAGTGCCAGGCCCAGTGGGTGGGGGAGTGGGGTCACTGTCAGAGGGGCCGCTGCCCACCTCTGTGCTGCTGGTGTGGCGACCACTGCTGTCTGCGCTGGGACGGGCTGGGTCACTGCTGGTGGGGCTCGGAGTCTGAGTGGCATGGGTGCTTGGAGTGGTGCTGAGGTAGCAGCTGTTGTCGTCGTCCTCTTCGGTCGGGGTGGTGACATCCCCTGGGGTCTCGTCGCTGCCACCAAAGGAAGCATAGTCCACAAATGAGTAGATCACGTTGTTGTCCTCGAAATCCCAGCGGGAGGCCAGTCCCACATCAAAATCCATGTCCTGCTCCACCTCGCTCAGCTGGATCTCGTGGGTGGTAATATAGTGAGCCTCCTCATTTTTGGGGGGGTCCCTGCTGCCCTGAGACTTGGCAATAATGTCCCTGCACTCTGTTCCATCTCCCTCTCCCCCTCCTCCCCCTCTTTCTGCCCCTCCTCCTCCTGCTCTTCCCCCTTCTCCTCCTCCCCTGGGCTGGCAGCTCAGGGCACTCTCACCACTGTCACTCTCAAAGCCTAAAGACGAAGACGAGGTGGCCAGAGCCCCTGCTGATGTGGTGGTATCATCCATCTTGGAAACGCCACCTTCTTCTGCTTTGTCCACTGGGGAGGAGGAGGAGGAGGAAGATGAGAGGTTGCTGTGCTCATCGGTGCGGGAAAGCTGGGATCTGGAGAGTTCCGAGGCAGCAGGATTCTTCTGGGGGGTCGGAGCCTTCCTCTCTTGACTGCTCCGTTCCTCTTGGGCTTCTTCCCTGGGGCTCCTAGGGGTCCTCTGCTCGCCCGGGCGGTGCTCCAGAGCGATTCTCCCGGTGCGGGGACTCACCCCTGAGACTGCGGCAGAAGCACACATCTCCACATACTTCGCTTCTCGCTGGGAGGAGGCCGGTGGCCTGGGCAGCAGTGGCAGCTGCTGCTTCGGCTCCTGGCTATCTTGAGCTCTGCTCCCCCGGTCGCCCACCTCCCTCAGTCTGGCCTGCGGACTCAGCTCAGGAGTGGCGGCTTCCATCTTGAGCCCTCGCCCAAGTTGCAGTGACAGGAGGAGACAGTGGTGAGCGGCACCGCTGGGGCTGGCCCGGGTCCCTCTCTGGCCCTGGAGGGGCTGCAGAGTGGCCCGAAGCAGGGCCCCACGTGCCTGGACTGGGCTCAAGGCTACAGGCACCACTGTGGCTGCTGCCACCACCTCCCAGTTCTTCAGCCCCTCTGGCGGGGCCAGGACAAGCCTGAGGGAGGGGGGAAGGCTCCTGGCAGTGGTGGCAGAGGTGGTCTGGGGCCGGGGGGCTGCTGCTCCGGCCGAGACCGTGGCCAGCTTCCCGTGGCTGAGCTGTTCTGTCCAGTTGTTTGCCTGGCACCGTCGGCGGCGGCGAGGAGTCTGAATGCCATCGGCCACGGAAGGAGCAGCATCTGTAGGTCGACCCAGGGACTTCCTGAAATGAAAGGAAAGCATGTGCTGTTTCTTGTGAAGCCTTGTCCCTTTCCTGGATGGGGCGAGAGTGGGTCACGTCATTCCAGAAATATTTTTAGTGTCTATTCCCTAGTCATACTGAAACCACACTTGAGGGGAGAGAGAAGAGGCTCTGAGATGACAAGGGAAGGTTGAGTGTGGAGGGAGGCATGTGGGTTCTCACTGGCAACAGCCACATGCTCTGTGTAATCTGGTGTAGAGACGTCTAGCTGGTGTGAAGGGATTCTTTACTCACCGCTATCTTTCACTCCCAAGTGTGATTAAACGGGTTCGTCCCCTTGTTCTTACACAAAATCCAAATTTTGCATTGCATTTCAAACGAATTCAGGACGATCCCGAAAGATTTCAAAATCTCTCCTAGACATATGGTAGGCTCTCTGCTTGCCTCAAAAATCTATGCATTTTCTTTTTCCTTCATCTCAAATCAGATCAGTTCTGGTAATAAAATCTTCAGAGGAATAAAATATTCCATTCCTCTTTTTCTCCGAAGTTATACTCCATAGAACAAAATCTGTTTGAAACTAGAATCCCTTATAGAATCCTTACTGCATTGACGTGAAGTATAAAAGGGCAATTTTCAAAGACTTAAGACATAACACTTTAAATACTCCTTTATGTATAGTCGCTAAAAAGGAGCACGTGGGGTCAAAAACGAACACTGCTTCAAATCCGTACATATCCAATCGATCTCGAGAAAAGTTCCTTAAACTTCTAAAACTGTGGCAAGACAATAAACTTTCAGTCTAATACAGCCTGAGCTGCAGCCTCATGATTTGTTTTGGCTGGCTGAATTCCAGACCTGCAGGGCGTGGAGTCAAAAGGCACAAAAGAACAAGGAATACACTTACCCTTCATGAGTACAGTGTGGCTTGGAGGAAGGTTCAGAGAGGAAATGTGACCCGCTGGCATGCCCCATGGACATGAAGCCAAAGTCCTAGTTCACTGGCTCTGAGGTTCATCCACGTCAGATAATTCAGTAGTTGTGCAAGGGGATTTACCAGGTGCCCCACGATGGGGGTTCTGTGCTGGCCACCCTCAGCACAGATCCTTGGGTGCTATCAGTGGAGAACCACGACTCTTGGTTTGGGTGAGATCTGGCCCTCATCACCTGCCAGGCCCAATTTCACCACTATACATAGTCTATGTGTCACTTATGCCGATTGAATAAAGCACTATTTTAAACATCCACATTTGTGGGGAACAAAAATAACATCATCACCCATCCCCTTCCAACATGAATGCCACCCCCGCACAGAAAAATGTTCCTTCCTAGGGATAGGCGTGGGGGTAGGTATGGAGTGGGAGCCCCTAACAACTGAAGCATTTACCTTCCCATACTTGAGATATGGAGACGACAGCCCCACTCTCCCCATGACAATTTGCTTCTGCCCACATCATTCCCATTAAAAACATGACATAAGGAAAGACTGGAAATATCAAGTATCATAGCGTGGATATAAGCCAGAGCGTGAGGTGGAGAGTAAAAGAGAAAAGGAAACAGAAAGAAACAAAGGGAGAGAAGGGGAATGAAAGAACAAGAAGAAAAGAGAGAATTTGCTAAATTTGCGAACAACTTTTTTGATTATGGGGAGCCAGATGTAATGGCACAAAATCATCAATTTTTAATGATAATAAAAATTTAAAAGAGATAATCACAACTAAGAGATATATAGCATTTCTTGTGTGTGAGGCACAATGCAAAGCAATTTTACATGTGTATGTATTATTTTATTTAATCCTCATAACAACCTGATGAGTGAGGTACAATTTTTATAGATAGGAAAGCTGAGGCACAGAGGTGCTAAGAAATTAGGAAGCAGGACTCAAACCCAGGCAGTCTGGCTCCTGAGCTTGAACCTGAACTGTGATGCTACAGAGGCTTGCTGGCTTCTCTGCCCAAATGCTCTCTGTGGCACCAAGTGCACAATTAGAGGACAGCAAGGCGTCCATTAGGCAATTCCATCCACGTGACTGCATACTAATCACATAATTGTTTCTGTTTTTTTTTTTTTTAATATTATCAACCTGTGTATACATTATATACTCAGGGCTTAAGGAACATGACCTTACACACAAAACAAAATAAAATATAATCGGTTGCTTCAAGCAAGCAGAGTAATTTCAATGCCCCGTTTTAATCTTTCTTGGGGACCTTGGACAATAAATTCTGAACACTACCTCAAGCACTGTGGGCCATACACACTCCAAAGAGGATACAAGGCAGAATGTCTGCCCATCAAGACAATTATAGTCTAAGGAGGGATTTTCCAGCACTTTCCATATGGCCCTGTCTGTCATGATAACTCAATGTATCTCAGCAGCTTCTCCTTGCAGTTGGCACAGTACCAAACTGGAAGGTCAGATGCCCTGGGTGTAGGTTAAAGTATAATTGCCTGATGCCTGAAGTTATGAAAACCTGCTTCCAGAGTCTAGCTCCCTCCAGAGAGCATAGCCCTAGCCCAAGCTCCCCAAGAGACGAAAAGAAAGGGTTATCCTAAAAGAGGTACTTACCTCTAAATTCTCTGTGCAGCTCTTTTTCTCTTTTCTAATTAAACGAACACCAGTGGAGGAAAAACTTGTAAGAAAATCTTTCTTAAATAAAGTCAATTTCCAAAAAGTAATGTTTCATTCAAACCATGAATTCTATTTAAAATTCAGACAAACAGAGAATTCAGAATAAGACAGACTCTATTAAAAGATGGGGAAAAAAGGGAGAAGAAAAAGAAACTCATAAATGGAAAACAATAGCCCATTTTAAGGTAAAGTCAACACAATTAAGAACTCCAAACTGCCTGCCCCCTGCATTTTCAGTTCTCTGTTGGTATATGTTACTAAGAAATACTCATTTGGTAGCCGTCAAGCCTTTTATTCCTTAACATGACTATAGTCATTTTTTTTTCTACAGATGAACTCAGTGATTGCCTATCTGATCTCAACTCTTGAGCAATTAACAGTGACTAATGTCACCAGCATTAACCCATGTTAAGCAAGCATTCTTGCTAGACCAGGCAAGGTATACTTGGTAGATAACTTTATATGGGATTTCAAAGAGCAACAAAGGAAATGACTCAGTGTCATTATTTTTATCTCTGCAGAGAAAGTTCTTAGCATTCCCTGAAAGTCTTGTGAAATGTATCATAGTATGAGAAACTTTAACATGATTAAAGAAATTGAGAATGAAGACCAGGCTATCCACCAGCTGGAAAAAGGATATGGTTATATTTCAGGTCCCTGACAGTGGCCTAATACAACAGACAAATATATCATTCAAAAGGAAGAACCCTTTAGCAGATACAGACTACTAGAAAGGAACTAGAGATAGGTTTCGACGTGGGCTCAAACCAGAAGTCAGACAAAAGATTTACCAAACACAGACATTCTCAGGATTCTCGGAGCGTGCAAAAGCTGGGAGAGATTTTCTGATTACTTTAAATTCTGTGTAAGGCTTCCCATAAACCCCTGCACACCTGGTCACACACCCTGATGGGAAGGAAGCTTCTCTGTTGGTCACTGCTTAATACTGAAGTGTGGCCAGCTGTTTCCGCTTCCCGGCCCAGGTGGGCGCGCCTAAGAATGACATCGGAAGGAAAGGCATCACGTTATTTTTTATTTTTATTTGTATTTATTTATTTATTTTTTCTTGGGGGTGCCGGAAAGAGTTTATTTCTGTCGTTACTGAGGTCAGTATGTGCTTTGGCTTGTTTAATCCTCTCAAAAACACTACAAGAGAGCAACGATTGTTCCCATTTTACGGAATAAACGGGAAGGCATGACTTGTCATGACTCGTTGTGCCTGTGTACTGACCACCCCGTTCTGAGGGTCTCAAGCCCACCACGCTCCGTCGGAGATCGAGCCCTCGGTGTGTGAGGCGGAGGTCACAGGCTTATTGCTGTCCTTATTTGCTGTCCCACAGCCTCGACCAGCTGCCTGCGTGGGGGACCAGCTGGTCACCATGAAGTCCAAGGAAACAGAGTGGAAGGATTAGTGTAAAACTCTCCCTGCGAGTAAAAAAACAGCATGTACCCTGAGGATGAATAAGTAGCACTACAGACTTGTGCAAAGAAGAGCACGTTGTGGTAGGAGCGTGCCATGCACATCGTAGAGGCAACCCCTTAGCTATGCCCTTAAAACTTGGAAGGACAGGAAGAAACAGTTCACCGCCAGAAATAAAACTTTGACACTCAAGCCTGCACACAGAGGGCAGAGGTGGTGCGAAGCGATTCCATACGTTTTCCCCTCCTGTCAGGACCGGTGTCAAGGAGTTGCTTCTCCCTGGTCTCCTGCACCCCCCTCCACCTCCTCTCTCAGTGGTCTAGGCTTTGCCCTCCTTTTCCCACCTCCATTTCCCCCTGGCCCCTGACAGAAGCTTCCATCTAGGGAGTAGTGCAGATTTTAGTGTTTCAGATCTTATTAGGTACAGGAAAATTATCCTTTCCAGACCTGTCTCAAAGGGAAACACTGATGGGACAAATAAATCTTTCTCTGTGTAATATGACCATTTTGAATAGCCTAGCACTGTCCATCTCTCCAGACTTGGCTCTTGGCTCTCCGTTATGCTAGGAGGCGGGAGGCAGGGTCCCCGAGGGGGGAGCTGCTGAGGATCCAGAATAGCAGCAGGTGAGGGAAGATGCATTATTAGGCTTTAAAAGCTGCTGGAAGTTTTTCCAGGTTGGTGTTGAAACAGACTTGAAATAACCAATCAGCTCAGCTGCCTGTCTACAGAATGACACGAGTGACATTTCTGTGATTTTAGACAGGATTTTTTTTTTTTTTTTGTCTTTTAATTCTTCATATGGCATTTTGGGGGCAAAAATCATCTTTCTGTTTTGTGTTCCTTTGGGAACAATTTCCCCTTCCCACATTTCTGATTTCAGACTTCTGTGGTTTCAAACATGAGCTTTTAAAGATACACTTAATATTTTATTTTCAGCTTTCTGTTTTCTATGACTACTTGGAATATTACGAAAATTGTTTAAGATCT